AACTGATAGGTGATAAATCTTCTAATATTCTAGTATATATTAAAAGATGATGATTTGAAAGATTATGAAAAAATTAAATCTTTAATTCTTAAGGAATATGAACCATCGCCAATTATATGTTTAGAAAATTTTCGCCAAGCTCAAAGGTTGACGGGGGAAACTCATTTGCAGTTCGCCTCTCGTTTAAGATCATGTTGGATCCATTATTGTAAAAGTAGAAACGTCAATGATTTTGAGTCTTTAATTAACTTAATAATTTCTGACAAACTTTTTCAAACATTGGATAGTGATTTAGCGTGCCATGTTGCAGTTCGAAAGCAAGGTAAAAAGGTTGGCTAATTTTCGTGATTCGTAAATGAACAGAAACATTCGTTTAAAAGAAGTAGTAGCAGTTTACATTTGGCTAAGGATTGCCCGAACAGGCGAAATAAATTTGAGAGGTCCAATAAACAGAACGATAATTTTCCCGGTCAAACCGAAAGTTAACACTTCAAGTAAACCGAAGGACAATGCGGTTGTTACAAATGTAAATTCTAAACATTTACAAAAAACGCGAGTGTTCCGACGGAAAAACTTAATTTTTATTCCTTGGAAAAGATTACTATTTACATGTTGCAGGGAAGCAAGTAGAAGCTATAAAAGATTCAGGTACGGAAAAAACAGGTACAATTTTGAACACTACATTAATTCCTGATTTAAAAATAGAAAGTAAGGGTAAAATCATTTTAAGTTCCTGCATTTGGCGACGTCATAGAGGCAACGTTAGCAACTATTCCCATTTATTACAAAAAACCAAACAGTTGTCTATATTCGCGCGTAGAAGCTCTTTTCGCGTTGACAGATAAGCAATGTTCAATGTTTAATTACACCAGATGTATGGGATCCCATATTTAAAGACGAGAATGAATCAACAGTCTTCCCTGAGATGAAACCGAAAACTCATAAACAAAAACAACTTAAGGTTGGCGCCGTTGAACTGTCAAATGTAAATCTTTTTTATAGCTCAGTTGCGAATCAGGATGATGAAAGATTAAACAGTTATTCGGAATCAAATAAATTTAAGGTCGATCAGAGAAACTGTCAAACATTAATAAATTCTTTTAAGGACGCAGAATTAGGGAAGAATAATTTCTTTTTACAAGACGAATTATTATTTCATAAAGAAAAAATTTGTTGGGAAAACATACAGCAGTTAGTTTTGACCGAGAATTATCGAAATAAAAATCCTTCAATTAGCTCATGATTCCATATTCGGAAATCATTTTAGGTATGCGGAAAACTAAAGAAAGAATTAAGCTTTCATTTTATTGGCCGAACATATCCAAAGATGTAGTAAAAATTATTGTAGAACATGCGAAAGATGTCAATTAAAAAGTCCGGAAAGACAATCGGATAAAATTCCGATTACTCCTACGTATACTTTCATACGGTATAGATATTATTGGTGAAATTTCACCGCCTTCAGGAAGGAAAGGAAGGAAACATAAATATTGTTTGTGTTTGATAGATAATCATTCAAAATGGCCAGAAGTCATACCTTTAAAAAGTCTTTCCGCTAAAGCTACTTGTGAGGCTCTTTTAGATATTTTTATGAGAACCGGTATTCCAGAAATAAATTTTGTAGTGATCAAGGCACTAATTTTACCTCACAATTAACTCAAGAATTCGAAAAAAAGGTTAGGAACTCATCCTCGTTTTTCGACACCTGGTTACCCAGCATCAAACGGCTCAGTGGAAAAATGGAATCGGGTATTTAAACAAATGTTACATCATGTAATTCGCACAGATCCTGTTAATTGGGACAAGCACATACCTTATTTACTTTTTGCGTATCGTGAAGTTCCAAATTGCACTACAGGTGTATCTCCATTTATGCTTATGTACGGTCGTGAAGCTAGAGGTCCCTTAGCTGTGTTAAAATCATCATGGTCCGGTGAAATACCATTACCTCTTAATCTGAGTAATTCAGCAGTTGATTATCTACAAGAATTAAAGATAAATTTAGAGAAAGCATCTGAGCTCGCTTCTTTATCTGCCGCGGAAAAACAAGAAGCTTACGCATATTATTTTAACCGTCGCAAAAGTATGAAAGAATTTTAAAAATGGGTGATCTAGTATATTTACTTATACCAGACTCTAGCAACAAGCTATATGCTAGGTGGACAGGTCCAGGTGAAATTGTTGAAAGAGTAAATCCTCATTCTTACAAAGGTTAAATTACCCGATGGGAGTGTGAGGCATGTTCATGTGAAACAAAATAAGAAAATTTTATGTTCGAGCACAAACTGTGGGAGTGATATTTGAAGATGATTCTGAGTTTGGGGAAATTCATCCAACTCTAAATAAAGGGGACTACGCAGCAACTGGAAGGAACTTCGAGGTGGATATTAGTCATTTAGAGGGTAGCAAACAAAAGGAATTACACGAGCTTTTACTCAAGCACATTGCGTTACTTTTGACGAGAGCTGTCTGCAGAAAGTGTGGTAGGGCATTTATGCCCGAGTTTGAGTTTCGATTTTGGCCAGCGTGGCTGATTAATTTGTAAGTTATAACAAGTATAACAACAACTATAGTAGTAACTATATAGAAAGAATTATTTTAGCATATGCAATGGGAAGAAATGGAAATAGCTATAAATATTAAAACAAATAGCAAAAATGTATTTTAACCTATAAAGATACCACATCATATGGCTTTGCTTTGTAACATCTTATACTTTAAAATGAGTCCAACATTATGATTTGCTAAATACTTTATATGTTTCATATGCTTCAAATGGTGGCCAGACAAAAGCCCACTAGACGTAAGCCCACAAAAAAGACCCCACTGGGATAATTGCCCACGTGACTAATACCCACACCAATGAAAGCGCACATTGATAAAAAAGCCCACATAGATATAAGCGCACGCTGATAAAAGCCCACACTGACAAAAACCCACACCGTTAAAATTAATATTTTTTCCCTTTTTTCTTCAGCTTCATAAAGCAGATTCATGAATAAATATAAAATAAAAAATTAATTAAATTAATAACAAATAATTGAAAAATAAATTTAAGTAGTGGAAAACATTTCATTTTGGGCTCTGGCTGAATTAAATTCGTATATGTATATAGAACAGAGAGTCAATCAAAATAATATAATTAAAAACATATATACATATGTGTAACCTTGTTTTATATTTACGCGACAAATGGAATGCCCGCGTATAAGCCAACAAAGGGAGTGTGGAAAGGAAATAGGCCACATGCTTCTTTTAATTACGAAATTATAAGGAAGTATAAAATGTATGTAAATTTTCATAATATACAGAGAATAATTTATGAATAATTTAACGCTGCAGAAAATTTTGCATATATGGAGAATTAAAGCCGAACTTTCATTTCAAAGAAAAAAATAAAAGTACCATAATCTATTATGGTTAAGTAAACATTTGTGTGCGCTATCACAAACACTGTTTTAGTGGTGAATTAAAAGCACGGTTTCAAATAATCTAGTTAAATTTTCACAACTTGGATTTTAGAGAAATTAATTTCATTCCCACTTGAAATTTCATTTTAATCATAATAATTATTTCTCTAAAATTTTTCAGGAAGTCATATCTATTTTGCATTTCCTGAAAATGTTTGCTGTTTTTAAGCGGGTATTCGTCTGTGGGCTTTTGTCATGCAGTTTTCTAACTGGTCGCTGGCTATTCAGGCGGGAAACCATTTCGTTCCTTTTCTTTCGCCCCCAGCTGTGTGAAAAAGTAGTTAAGGAGAGGAGAGCCTTGCTTAATTGTTTTATCCCCTATCGAACCTGGGGTGCCAAAGAACAGCCTCAGAAGGGACGGGGTGGCAGGAGAGCAATTAAAGGTTGGTCAGGAATAAATTAAAGAGGATTTTAAATGTTTTTGAGGTTACATTGGGAATTAATTTTCTGACAGGGTTGTCAGCTGAAAGTTTTAATTTGTTCAGAAATCTAAAAGAAAATATCTCTAGAAAAGCACCAAATTATAATTGTCACATTCAAAAATGCTTTCAATGAGAAATATGTTTAAACTATGATAATAAGCTCAGTCTAAAGTAAAGAATAAAAATCTCTCTTAGCCAAATTTTCATTGTGCTTAACTGTTTTAATATTCCTAAACTAAAAAAGAACTAAAGATAAAACTAAAAAGAAATAAAATAAAATTCAAGTGTTTTTAATTAAAAAGTTAATAGTTTTAATAATGAAACAAATTTATATTTAATCTCAGCCATATTACCTTAAAAATATCATGTGAGAAACTCCACAATGATATTTTTCATTTTCACATACACATACCAAAATTAGATAAATAAATAATAAAATGCAATTTCAGATTTATCATCGAAACGTTATAGCTAATCACTTAATCAGAGAGTAGAAAGTTTGCTTTCAACTTAATAAATTAAACAAATAAAGTAGGGATAAAATATACAAACAGACACATATTTGAGACATTAAAATTCAGATCTGAATACTGCATTTTTTATAATTAAAATTATAAATACACGGTTTAGTAATAAAAAGCCATAAATCCCTTTTGATTATGTGCGCTTTTGCCAGTGTGGGCTTTTATCAGCGTGGGCTTATATCTATGTGGGCTTTTATCAATGGGGGCTTTTATCAGTGTGGGCTTTTATCAATGTGCGCTTTCATCACTGTGGGTATTTGTCGCGTGGGTAATTATCATAGTGTGCTTTTTTTTTGTGGGCTTTTGTCTGGGAACTGCTTCAAATATGCCTCACATTATCATAAATATGAAACAGCCGAGGAAAATATCGCATTTTATTGTTCACAAGACAAGACTAACAGATTTTAAATGCAATGTATTAGTAGTTCTTAAACTATATTCCCAACCGTAAACATTGAAAACTCATAAACAATATGAAAACTATTAATATTTTTTAGCACTTTACAGAACGGGAGGAATAACTCTTCAGGATTTCTTACTTGACCTTAGAGGAACTGTAATTATATCATAAGAAAAAATGCTACCTGCACATTATGAAAATCCACTCGATTTAAGTCTGCCATCATCTGACTGATTTGTGAAGAATTCTGAAGGACGGCTCGGGCAGCTTGGGCAAGGTGGTTTAAAGACGTGTAACGTCTTAGTGTCTGGGCAAAGGCACTTACTGCACTCACCTAAAAAGTAAGATGCAAAAATTTCACTAAAAATATTTATTAGAGTTAGAAAATGTTTTTTATTTTATTCATTTCTACAATGCATATTAAATACAATTAAAAATACATGTATATTAAAAGAAGAAACATAGCCAAATCTTAGCTTTATTAATGAAAATTAATTAATGCATACAAAGAAGATAAAAATAGATGTTCAAATAAATGATGGTGTTCAACTTCTTAACCTAACATTCTCTCCTTTATAGGGACACTCTATGAATTACAATAATATGTTAAGGTATTTTGCTATTTTTATAAATACAATAGCTTTCATTTTTATAACTCACTGCTATAAGAAAAATGCAAAAATATATTCAATTCTAGGAATGCAATATTCTATAACTTTCTATATAATGTTGGGAAATTTGCATTTCCCCTGCAGTTGTGCAATGCTGAAGAGGATAAAATATATAATCCCACAGTAGAAGCTATGAACTATTTGTCACATGGCTAGTAACCATGATTCCCTTCAAGATGGTGAGGAGATTTAATGCATGCAACATAGCTGTCAAAGACTAGATTAGGAATCTAGCAGTTTCCTGGACAGCATTTATATGAAGCATTTAATGGAATTGTTGCAACCAAGTTAATCATATATTGGCTGACATATCCTGCTCACCTGTTTTTGTAAAGCACAAGGAAAGCAGCCATTAAAATTCATCTTTCACTTATATCAAGTATGCTTCTTTGGTAGGGAACCACATTTAACACTATGCAAATACACGCAACATCACTAGAAGCCAAACAGGTTATGAAGCCTGGTTTCCCAAGTCTACTGAATATGTACCCCTAAGCAATAAGTCAATTCTGTTTTTATTATTATTATTATTATTTATTATTTATTTTGGTGAAAAACATGTTAAAAGAAAGTACTTCTTCCTTTTACTGAAACTGTACATATCTGATAAAAATAATGAACCAGAATATTCAACTACATAACACTAACTTTTGAAATATGAAGTTTCTAAGTGAAAATGGTTTTAATCCAGTCTGGACTTTGGGAAGTCGTATGTGAACAGTTATTCAAGCCAGAAACTTCTCAACTGAATCAAGGCGAATTTGAGAAGTGGGTCTCAAAAGATCAAAAAGCTTTATTAATTATTGCTCTGAACATGAAATCATCTGATGAAGTGCACAATAAAAATTGTAAAACTTCGTAAGAAGAATGGGTGAAACTGCACAATATTCATTATCCTAGAGGCCCTATTTATAAAGTAAGCATTTATGAAGCAACTTATTTCAAAAAAGATAAGCGCAAAAGAAAAAAAAATTCAATACTTCTTTCTTCGAAATAATCTGAAATTCCAGAAGAATTCCTAACAATTTTACTACTACACAGCTTAATTGAAAAATTTTCAAGTTTTCGAATTGCGATAGAATCTTGTGATAAACTACCAGATTTAAACACACTAAAAAGTAAGTTACTAGAAAAATCTAAAAGTTGCCAATTTAAAGTGCAAGAAAACAGTTAAGTGCAGAATGCATTAGTTACTGTATGTCACAGCAATGCGAAAATGAAATCTAAAAATGTTAAAGACATTAGATGTTATACTGCAAGCAAAATGGACACAAAGGCATCAGAATGTAGAAAACATAACAGAAAGAATGTCCTAAAAATTGTACTATCAGAATTCCCAATACAACGCAAGAACTTGAACACATAATTGGTACCTTGATTCAGAATTCGTGTGTCACTGCACACATGTGCAAAAGAAAAAATGAACTTACTGCAGTTAATTTAGGAACGCAATGTAAATGTACTGTCTACTTCAGAAATAACCATGTGAGGGTTAAAGATAAAAATAAACCTTACAAGTGATGAAGCAAAATGGACTATATATTGTAAACTGACGGAATATAACCGAGTTTTCAGATGTTGCAAAGGGTAACGCAAATAGGCTAAACAATAAACTGAAACTTGTATACCTTTTTGTGGGTAATTATTTCACAAGACACTGTATTTATTTACATGCTACTTTGTCCTCGCATACACACATATCACAACAACTACTCGCATTCTAGTCTTGGTTTTCTGGTTTACAATCACTTTGCGTGCTTGTGATGATTGGCGTTGCACCTTCTTTAAGTTTGATTATGATTAAGTTCTCGATACACCACATCCCTCCCCCTTTGCAACAACTGCAGTCTATCTGGGGAAGGTCGAATTCTACGGAACCAACGTAAACCTGGTTATATCAGCAGCAGGTCCGGTGGATGGAACATCCAGTAAAACCTTGCGCTCGGAAGACGACACAGACTCATCTACCTGGTGGCTATTATCTTTTGGATTGGTTCTGAAACTCCACTCTTATCAGGCTCTTTGGAAATCACAAGAGCTGGAGGTAGATGTATGCAGCTATCACCAATTATGGTTCCTCCATCACACATCTGATCGACATGTTGCCGCCATAGCTGACCATCTACATTTATAGTATAATAAAGCTACCCATCCTTGGATTGGACGGTTCCAAATCTCCATTGTCTGTCACCTTGGCGATAATTTCTTACTGCCACTTTATCGCCAACTCTAAATCCTTGGTCTGCAAACTCGTAAGCTTTACTTTTTTAACTCTATTTTCCACCCTCCTTTTGTGATCTGATCTCAATAAATGTATTCTTGTTCGATTTTCCCTCTTCGGCATTAGCATTGCAGGGCTCTGTAGAGTAGTTAAATTTGAAGCTTTTCTATATTGCATCAAAAATGTACTGAGATTTTGTCTCAAAGTTCCTGGATAATTTTACATGTTTCTTAAAGATTAGTTTTACTGTAAACACATACTGTTCAACATTTATCTATACCATTCCAAAACACATAAGATGTCACGAAGGAATGTTTTGTATTATTTTTGAATCCCATTTTCATCATCATATGTTGTATATCTTTTTGTGGGTAATTATTTGCTTAAGTCACTGTATTTAATTACATGCTACTTTAATTTAATCACATGCTTATGTACAAAACACATCATCCTTGCATACACACGTATCACTAAACTACTCGCATTCCAGTCTTGATTCTGGTTTACAATCACTTCACGCGCCAGCTTTAAGTTCGATTATGATTACGTTCTCGAGACATCACAAAACTGTCATACAATACATGCGGTTCCTTAAATATAGCCAACTTAAAAGTATTGCATTCTAAAAAGATGGTGCACAGCCTAAAATTTCCAAAAGTTAAAAATCTGATGCGTACGCCATGACTTCCTTGTACAGCCTATTAAATTATACATAGCTTTTGCTGCACTTCATTTAAACTCATTTTCTTGAATTATTATGACTTGAATAAGTGATCCTTCAAGGCAAGTTGAAAATGGCATAAAAATTGCAAATTTTAAAATGAAATAGCACGGTCAATTTTTGTCGTGTGGGAGTCACACTTACTATAATTTAATTTTTTCATAATAGGTATTACACTCATTATGAAGTATAAGTATCAGGAGATCGCATTAAAAGTTAGATTTTGTTATTTTTTTTTTCCTTTGACATTGCCAAAACATGAATATCTACATCTTTTAAAACATATCTATAATTAAAAGTATACTACTACCACCAACAACTGAGAAAATACAGGCTGGGTAAGGACTTTTAAGGCGGGTTAGGAGATAGATATTATAACTTTTAAATTGGGTGATGGCGATTGCAATAAAAAAAGCAGATGCACAATTAGATGTTATAGCAGTCCCATATACAAGATTTCAATGTTTTACAGCTGATTGTGTTTGAATTATCCATATTATATACCCACGTACAGATGTAGTGAAAAATAACTTTTGAATCCAATTCATAATACAGTATTGACAAAAAGAGTCTTTTAATCTGTGCGTACATATAAACATTAACCCTCCGAGTGGCCAGGGTTTTCGCTAAGAACGCACAAATTTCCCAAACTACTGCGAGAACAAATAATTTTTTTTTAATTTTAATATAAAAACTCTCCTGGTATTTCAGACCTGGATTTCTGTACTTTTGATATATTGCCTTAATTTCTTTAACATATTTTAATATGCATGTATATATATACATTCTTACAGACATCACAAAAAATATTCTAAGCCGTATATATACAGCCTTGCCGCTTAGAAGATTAAGCAAAAAAAATGTCAAAATGCAGTTGAGAATGTTACAATGGATATTTCTGTTGAAATACGATACCTGAAATTTTTCATAATTACAATAACTTCCTTTCCTTTGTACAAGGAAGTAAAAATGAAACCCTATATTGTGAAACCTGTACAAAATACAAAGAAACAAGGTTACCATTCCTGAAAAAAATACATGCAGTAAACTACGAATACTTGAATTTGTGTACACTGATATTTGCAGTGACATGAATGTTGCATCTTTAGGTGGTGCAAAATATTTCATAACATTCAGTGCCAACAAATCATGTAAAATTACTGCATATGCCACTAACTGAGGATTTTCTCCCATGGTCATAGAGAAAATTTTCATCTTGTTATAAAATACGACTTTCCGCTGTTATGGATAACATTAATAATCTTGTCGTGCATCCATTCCATAATTCTGTCAGTTACAAAATTGCACGAATTTTCCAGAAATTCAATTTTCAAGTCATTTTATAGCCTATCATAAAATCCCTGTGTTGGATTCTTCAAGACTCCATTTTTGATTTTATTTCTTGGGGAATTTATAGCATATCTTGTCAAGGCACATTGAGATATATCGTCTAAACTGAGAGAGCATTAAAGTTTTGCATCAAAGCACATGAATCTTATATTCCGAAAAGACAAAATTAACAAGTGTTCAATAGCAAATCAGAGTTGAAAATTTAATCATAATTCTTATTGCCAAAAGAAAAGGGGGAAACTTTTTTGCAAAAAAAATATACAAAATGCTTCTTTATCAATTTGGATTTTTTTGAAGCTTTTCACAAAAAATTATCTTGCTTAGTTAATGACTAATTCTAATCCAGTTCTTCCTAACATTTTAAAAATTCTATTTAGATTTTTCAATTTTCATTACTATTTTAATTGATAGATGACACTACCTTCTCAATCACTTTACTCCTTTTGGGTATAAATACAACCATGTCTTTCTCTTTGCTGCTAATTTCCTTGTTCCTGATGAAAAGAGACCTGTACCTGTTTGCCCTCAAAATCCATAGTCTTGACTAAAATCTATCCCAAACACAAAGTTGTTGCTTTCCTAATTACTTCCTTGTACAAAATAAAGGAAGTATTGTAATCAGAAAAATTCCAAATACCATATTTCAATGAAAATATCCATTTTGAATGCAATTTAACAATGTTTTTGCATGACATCTGTACCTAAGGACAGAATAAAGGACTTTTCCCCAAACGAATTATAAAACTGATTTAAAATGGACTCAAGAGGAGATTTTTTTATGACATCTGTACATATGTATCTCGCATAACTCAAAAATGAGTAGCCTCAGGACATTGAAATTTTGTATATATGACTGCTATAATGTGCAATGCACCTCTTTTTTTTTTTTCTTCTTTTTTTTCTTTTTGTTGTTGCAATCGGCCGCACCAAATATATATATATATACCAACTCTGTTACTAGCCTCCATGAACTCAGCTGTTTTATTCTTATATGTTGGTGAATGGCACATTTTTTGCTTAAAAATGATTGAATTATGTTGTTCTTATCTTCTGATTAAGGTTTATATCCCTTTAGTTAATCTGCATGCAATATTTGTAGAAGTATGAACTGGAGGAAGATAAGAACTTGGAGGAATCACAAAGAGGATTTTAAAAAAGCAACTTACAATAAATATAATCTCCGACGGGGAACTCCGAATGGCCTGAACTTGGCCATTGTGCACTTCCCCGTCGGAGAAGACAGACAGAGCTGAATACTTAATTTTAGATCACAGAAAAGTGGGACTTTTAGTCTCTACAAAAATGATTATTCATCTAGCAAAAGCGATAGGGACTGACAGATCGTAAATTTTACTAGATCAACATCATGGTGTTCAATATTCATGAAGAGAACCAGCTATGCATGTGAACTAAAACAAAAATATTGCAAAAGATGCCATACAAATATGATGAAAAAATGACTGAATTTCAGTGATTTGTCATTAATGCACGAAAACGAGAAAATTTTGAACTTGCACAAATAGGAAACATGGACGAGGTTCCTCTGATTTATGAAGTGCCCTCAAACAAAACTGTATATTTCAAAGGTACAAAAAAGTGTTACTGTTAAAATTTCATGGCTTGAAAAATCTCATTACTTGGCCGTTTTATCCTGCTGTGCTGATGGAACAAAATTGCCCTCACTATAGATTTTTAAAAGGAAGACACTACCCAAAGAAAAACTACCTGAAGGAGTGTTTATACATGTTCATGCAAAATGCTGAATGCATGAAGGAGGAATAAAGTTATGGATAGATAAAATCTGGTCGAGCCATCCTGGTGGACTGTTGAAGAATCCTGGCTTACTAGTACAGGATCAGTTTTGTTCTCGCAGAACAGAAGATGTTAAAAATAAACTCAAAGAGTTGAAAACTCAGCTGTAATTTCAGAAGCCCTAACTAGTCAGCTTCAACCTTTAGATGTCTGCATTAATAAACCATTTAAGGGATTTATGAAGGAGAAGCGGAACAGCTGGATGCAGTCTTCAAATTTTGAGGTTTACCATCAGGAACAAGCCTAGCATTTTGTAAGTTTCCAAATGGGTCAAAGCTCCATGGGATGCTGAGAAAACAGAGACAGTAGTTAAATCATTAAAGAAGTGTGGCATTAGTAATGCACTGGATGGTACAGAGGACAATTTGTTGTAAGAGGACTCAGATGATGATTTAGAGGAGGTTTCAATTGACTCTTCATTTAACTCTGGAGATGAGTGTCTGGTTTTGACTAAGAAGATTAAAAGGTTTCTTTCCCAGATAGATTGGGTATTTGCAGAAAGTATTACCTTGTATTTAAAATACTGTAAATTCATTATAATGATCAGTTATAACATTTCATCCTTCAAAAATGTGTATAAAAAAGTGGGGTGCATCTTATACGCCGGCAAATATGGTATATAAAACAAACATTTCTGACTCTGAACACTCATGGCTATACACAAGGGTACTAGATTTAATTTCACATACTGGGTAATGTATATTTCATCTTAATAATGGAAAAGAAAACATATTTGATTTTGGTGGACAATTCTTTATTAGCAAACAGAAATTATTGTGCAATAGCATCAACAGAGCATTAAAAAATAAATAAACAATAGCTTAAGTACAATGATCACAGTAAAAATGGTATATACATTGAATACAGCAAAAGTTTGTTAAAAATATCAAAGTGATTATTTTTGTTCATTTGGTATGAAAACAGAGGATTAACATGATCTAAACAATAAAAGATGTGTTTACAATTAACTTACTTTGACTTTTATAACTTCTTCTGGACAGCCAACCATTGCTGATGAAAGCCAGGATTCCAAACATTTTGCAAAATTTCGAATCGCCTGAGTAAGAGAACCTGAAAAATTAAAATATTAGAAATAAATAATAATATTAATAAAAATATATTATTCCCTCTTAACCTTTTGATATTCTTTACCTCCGAAAAATATTACAGATCTTCCCAAACATTAAAGAATGTTTACAGTGTAGCAATAATTTATACTCCTTAGAACCAGATTAACAAAAAGACAAATATTCAAAATAATTTCTGAATGGAAACACTGAGAGTAGAAGGAATTGAGAACAAACACAATGCAGGAAATAAATCTGCAATGATTAGGAGAATTCTTCTTTATGTTAAAAAGTAAAAATTATTCACTGAAACAAAATTTCTAGAAATGCACCAATCGAAATTTCAAAAGCGCAAAAATTTAGATAAATTAAACAGCAAATTTGAAAACATACACTTCACGAAACAAACAGATATACTGAAAATTTCATCATAACCAATTATTACCATGTGAAAGTTGCAAAAAAATTCGCAGTTTTTTTGGGGGGAGGGGGAACAGGAAGAATGGAAGTCATAATATTTGGCTTAGTTCAAATACACACTCATGTCCAAAATTATCTTTACATACCCAAAAATGATGATATTCAATAAAATATCGAATCAATGTGATCCGTATTTGCAGGGAATGTGTGAAAACCAAGCCTAATTAGCATTATCCAATCAAAAGTAATCAAACGGTTTGTGATATGCAAATCTAGGCGTTACGTCATCCAAGGGTGAATTTGTGCTTTGCGCAAACTGAATATTTGAGTGAATTTCTGCAACATAGCGTTTGATTTCAGTGTGTAGGGACTCAAAGCGGTTTGTTATGGCTTCGAAGTATCATTTGGAAGAATCTGTAAAGTGGCGAATTATCGGCCGTTTAGAAGCAGGGCAGTCAATCATGGAAACAGCCACATGTCTGAATATTTCAAGACAGACAGTCTCTTAGCTTTGGAAACAGTTTGAAAATGATGGAAGTGTTGTAAGGAGGCCTGGACAAGGTCGTAAACGAATGACAACTGCTTCTGAAGATCGGTATCTGGCATTAACTGCCCGTCGTAACAGAAAGGCTACTGCTTGCCAGTTAAGTTCAGAGTTTGCAGCCGCCACTGGAACTGTTGCATCACGGGAAACAATATACAGAAGGCTTAATGAAAAAGGCCTTTATGCCAGAAAGCCAAGGGTATGTGTTTTACTGTCTTCACAGAAAAAGAGGGATCGCTTTAATTGGTGTAAAGAACATCAAAACTGGACTGAACATCAATGGTCCCATGTTCTCTTTACTGATGAGTCGCGGTTTAGTTTAACTGGTGATTCTAAACGTGTTTACATCTGGAGGGAGTCAGGAACACGAAATGATCCCTCGAACATTGTGGAACGTGACCGTTTCGGTAGTGGAGGTGTAATGGTATGGGGTGGAATAATGATCGATGGACGTACGCCCCTACACGTGTTCAGCAGTGGATCTGTGACAGGCCAGATATATCGAGATGAGGTCTTAGATCCTTATGTAATACTTTTCAGGGGTGCATATGGACCTGACTTTTTATTTATGGATGATAATGCTCGTCCACATCGAGCAAACCTCGTTGATGAATTCCTTGAAAGTGAAGACATTAAGCGAATACCTTGGCCACCAAACTTTCCTGACTTTAACCCGATAGAGAACTTATGGGACTACCTTGGAAGAGCAATTGCTCGTATACATCCTCCTCCTAGAGATGTAAATGCTCTGAAGACGGCATCGCTGGAAGAGTGGAGATTAATTCCCCAAACTGTGGTTAACAATGTTATTTCCAGCCTTAAAACATGTTGTGATATGTATGTACAAGTCAGGGAGATCATATTCCATATTAAATTCGTAAGACTTAATTCTTTTTCTGAATCATTCCTTTTTTTTCTTAACTCTCTTTGTCACACTTTACTACCATTTTTATTGTTTCATGCTACAATTTTATATCATATGAGGTGATCTTAAATTTTTTCTTTTGCATTTATGTGTCATCATGTTATGTATGATTCCACGAAAATTCATTAAATTATTAGTCTCTGAGAAATCCGTGAATTTATGCATGTAAACATAATTTTGGACATGAGTGTAATATTTAAATATATAATAATAATTTTATATTTGGCTTAAAATGCAAATAATCAATTATGTTTTTAAGTTAATGGCATGAAACAATGTGGTACAATGGTAAACCAAAGTTGTTAAGTACACAGTTTGTATTTTCTTCTGCCCAATTTCTTCCCAATCCTATAAATTAGTAAATGAAAGCTTAATAAATTATTATTAATTGTTTCATTTCCTATCCATTGCTGATGCCATATTCACTTTTTGAGGGGAGGAGGACACAAGAAATGACTATTGAATAGTACAACAACGAAAAGTGCCAATTAATAATCTAGAATTAATTAATAATCATGATATACTTCTCTATAGGGTGCTTCACAGAGTACATCAAACCTTTTAGTTGAATAACTCTTCGAGTGGAACAACTGATGTGAAGTTGCACACACATGCACAGGGACCCAAAGGAAACTTATTTATATACGTTGGATAGTTTCAAAAAATATTTGTTTTCACCAAAATGTACCAATATTCAACTGAGGAGCATGTTTAGATAAAACGTTTTATCTTTGCAACCAGAAGTCTGCTGAAAGAGTCAGGAAGTGGTCTAGTGTCAGTAGGCCAGAGCCATCCTTAAGCATGTTTACCAAATTTGAACAAATAGGTTCAGTGGCTCGTGACAAAGTGGGCATGAAGACCCAAAAAAAAAAAAAAAGACATCAAGAATTCCTGAAAACATCATAAAGTCCTTCAGTTAGTTTATGACTCCATGTTTGCGAATCATTTAGGGATGCAAAAAACTAAAGGATGAATTATACTGGCTGAGTACATCAAAAAAAAAAAAAAAAAAAAAAAGTAGAAAATTGCCGTAGAACATGTAAAATATAAAAACCTGAAAAACAGTCTGATAAAATTCCTATTAGCCCTTCTGTTGGTGCACTACATCAATTTTATGTGGTAAATATAAATATTATTAGTGAGATCTCACCACCTTCAGGAACAATACACAAGTATTGTCTCTGTTTAAGAGATAATCATCCAAAATGGCCAGAAGTCACGCCTCTAAAGTATTTCTGCTTAAGTGACATGCGATGTTCTTTTAGAAATTTTTATGAGGACAGGTATTCTAAAAATTATTTGTAGTCATCAAAGTATTACTTTTATCTCAGACTCAAGAATATGAAAAAAGGTTAGGAATTAATTCTCAGTTTTCAATACCAGGTTATCCTGCATTCAAATGGCTCAGTAGAAAAATGGAATCATGTATTTAAACAAATTTTACATCATGTAATTTGCACAGATTCTGATAACTGGGACAAGCAAATTACATTCAAAAGTCGTTAATCCGGACTCGTCGGGACTTCGGCGATTCCGGGTTATAGATTTTTCCGGATTAATCCGGATTTCATCAGTTTAAATCTGGTAAAACGGCATGCAGAAATTATAAAATTAAAAATATGAAACCGTAATTTAAGAAATAAAGAACAATTATGATCTAAAGGGTATCAAAATTTACAAACAAAAAAACAAAAAAAAACAAAAAAAAACTTAATATTTATTTGTTTACTTCATTAAACATTTCTTTCAATGTAAGTTGTTTAAGTTGCTTCATTTTTTATGTGATAATACATTCTCCTTAATTCTATAAACACACATAATTTCTTGTTCAGTTACAAAGTTCCGCTGTTCAAGTCCTATAATTGCTGTGTCGAGAATACTGACTAATTTGTCAATCGAAATTTTTTCGTTTTCAATAACCTCTGTTACTTTCTTCGCTATCGGAAGTGAATTATAATGACGAGGCATTTGATTTAAATCATATCAAAGACGAGTACATCGAGATGAAATACTACATTGAGTAAGGAATTATAAGCCAAATAAAATAAAAACATCTGCCCTTAAGATAAGGATAGTGCTGACAGATGAACTTCCAATTCTGCACGCCACTGCAGTGTTAAAGATAAACAAAGTTTAGATAAACAAACGTTAAAGATTAGATAACCAAAGGATATGCCTTTATCCATTTTTTGCAGCACTTCCACTTTTTGTTTAATGGACTCCGAAAGATACTTTCGCTTTGTATATCCTTTACATATTAGTAAATATATATCGGAAATTCTATTTGACATAATCGAAAGTTCAAGCTTACTTTTATAAAATTGCTCTAATAGTCTGCAAAAAATAATAATCCGGATCCAATTCGAAGATTAAGGAACAACACAATCTGCAACATTAACTGAAATAGATAATTAGATAATTTTAGCTTAGCTTATCCCGTCCGTTATACATTAAACGCGCATTCGTAAACGTATTTTGCGCACGTGCACACGCAAATTCGCAGCGGTAAAGGTCAACGTCAATGCGATGCATGCGCAGAAAGTTTGTAGCTTTGAGGTCCGAATTAACGACTTTTGACTGTACTTATCTACTTTTTGCACCCATGAAGTTCCAAAATGGATTCACATACGGTCAGCTTTATTAAAACCAGGAAACTACCTTCACCCCTTAATATAAGTAATTCAGCAGTCGACCATTTGCAATAGTTAAAAATAAATTTTGAGGAATCAGCTGATCTTGCTTCTTTATCTGCTGCTGGAAAATAAGAAGCATCTGCATTTTATTTTAACCAGGCATGCAAGAATTTTAAAATGGCAAATGCAGTATATTTACATATACCAGACTTGACCAAAAAGCTACATGCTAGGCGGACAATATATATGATATTATTGAAAAAAATTACCCCTCATCCTTATAAATTGCCAGATGGTAGTGTGCAACATGTTCATGTACATGAGATAAGAAAATTTCATGTTTGAGCACAAAATATAACGGTAATTTTCAATGATTATTCCGAGTTAGGAGAAATTCTTCTCACAGAAAATGACACAGACAGTGTGGCAACTAAAATGACACTGAGATGGACATTTGTCATTTAGAGGGCAGTAAACAAAAG